GCCCTTCCTCTATCTGGCTCCCAAATCACTACAGCTTGCATCTCCTCTCACCTTCATATCAAGGGCAACTTCATTAACTAAACGAGTCTGAGTTTAGCATCGGATTTGCTCTCTTCGGTGCATTGGCTCTTACTAGTCTTCAAACTTTAGCTCAGGCTACACCAGCCGGGGAAGAGATGCTGTACACACACATGCCTTGGTAGCTGCCTCAGGTTCCTTATTCCCCTTATGGAGTCTGGTGCCCATTGCACCAGGACCTTCGATGCATGCACCTAAGCAAGAGTATGGGAGTGGAGGCTGCCCTTGACCCACCATCCCCTCTTTAGACCCCTGAGCTGGAGTCCAAAGGCCAGACCAAGTCCAGATGTTCAGTGCCGTGATGCTTGTAGCTTCTGCCAGACAGCAATAGATAAGAACTGCTGCTGACTGCCTACGCTTTTCAAAGCATCATAGAAAATGAGGGTGGAAGGGAGCTCAGGAGGTCACATCTAGTCCAACCCCCTACTCCAAGCAGGACCAGCCCCAACTACATCATCCCAGACAAGGCTTTGTCTAGCTGGGTCTTAAAAACCTCCAAGGATGGAGACTGCACCACCTCTTTGGGGAGCCTAGTCCAGTGCTTTACCACCCTCCTGGGGAGAATTTTTTTCCTAATATCCAACCTCAACTTCCCTTGCTGCAACTTGAGCCCATTGTTGCTTGTCCCGTCATCTAAAGCCACGGAGAACAGTCCAGTCTAGTTTCTATCAGGGCAATGTCTCTTAGGATTTCTTCAACCAAGGAGTACCCACAAGACAGTAGGGTTTTGAGGCACCCTACTCTGCAGGTTACAACACCGTGGTATTTTATAGGCGCTACCCTGCCACAAGTAGCCCCACCACCAGCCCCACCTGTCAGATGCAGTTTACCATCATCCCCAGGACCAAAATATGCACGCACAAAAAAGAGTGCACATGAAGCTAATGCAGAGCATGACAGCAAACACACGACAGTACTTACATCTCCACAGGTAAAGTAAGAGCAGCATCAATGCGAGAAGAACAACTGCCCCGCCAGTGGCGAGGGGCAGCAGTGGGATCCCCTGCTCCAGCTGAGAAAGAAGGGGTGGGGGTGGGAAACAAGCAGAAAAGGCTTTTAAACAGCACATTGGTGCTGGCATGTTTAAAGAAGGCCTGGTAGCTCTAACAGCAATATCTGCCATCAAGCTGGCAGTGTAAATGGCAAATGCCCGGGGAACAGGAAAGCAGGAATCCTATTGCAAACCTGCATGGCAAACTTTGATGGGCAGCTGGATTATTTATTGCCAAGTTTGTTTGCTCTCTTTCTGCACAGGTAGGGGTTTGCTCAAACCAGGGGCAATCAAAACCCCAATGGTTGGGCTCCGGTTAAGCAAAACCCAAACAAGAGGTGGTTTGGATCGGAAGGCCAGACCCTGTTGCAAAAGGGGTGGCTCTCTCAATGAACAGTGGTGCTAGTACTTCCTTCTGGACTCCCCCAGGAAGGAGGTCTTGTCCAGGGGCTGCAAGGCAAAGCCATCCTTGAGTGCTGCTAGCTGAACCTCAAGCCCAGATCACCCAGCGCTTGTCCTGTTAAAGCCCTCCACTGTTTCCATGAGTGTAGGCAGCCCAGGCTGCATCTCAGTGGTATTTGCAAGGCACATGAATATCTTACAGAGTGGAAAACCCATTGCCTTTCACTCTGGACTGGAGTGGCCTTCAGGATCACTTTGACTGGCACGTGGCAGCAGTTCTGGGATGTGAGGTTTTGCATCCAACAGCCTCTCAACACTGCCAGGACCCCCAAACCTTATACAAATCCATGCACAGATAGCCCCCTGCCCTCTCACTTCATCAGTCATGGGTCTTTGCCAAGGACAAGCCAAGAGAGGGTGCTTGGGACCACTGGGGAATGGAGAGGAGGAAAGAGGGTAAAAATGACATGAGATATGACATCCCAGCCCGTATTTATGGCATCTTCCTCAGCAGCATCTGGTGCGGGTTACTGAAGGCAGAGAGCTGGATTGGGGGGCTGGTAATTCCTATGTGCCCCTGGACCAGATTAAACCCAGCACCTCTCTGCTTTGCCTACAGCATGTATTTAGGCTAAACGCTTTGTAAATCACTGCTAGGTCAAGCTGGCTTTTAGTTCGTCGGACGCTTCTGAGACACGGAGGAGGCTTTACCTGTCCTGGGTGATCTGTGTTTTCTGGGGGCTCACCGTGCTGTGACTCTGGGGAAGTCTCTGGTAACAGAAAAATAACAAAATACTAGATCTAGACTCAGTGCAATTGCCATTAGACATTTGTCTTCTCACAGTAATGTGCAGAGGCCGATAACATTGCCTGGAAAGGCCTGTAAGACCAAGTGTTTCCCCACAAATCCAAGACTCCTCAGCAATACTGATGTACCTTATTCTGTCTACCTGCTCTCCTAATATGACCCATGGTCCCAAGCACTTTGCAATCTCTTATATACAAGAGATATATATCTCTTATACATTTGTCCTTACACCTTGTAGGATAGGAAAACACTACTATCCTTGCCTGGAGAATGGGAAACTGAGGCAGAAGAAAACCTCTAAGGGCTGGACCTAGAAAGGCTCCTAGGTGCCTAAACAATAACTGAATTCACGCAGGAGTTAGACACCTAAATACCAATCTGCAGCTGGCCCTCAAAGTTTCCCAGGTCCTTGGTGAATCAGGGAATCCAACGATGACCTCTGGGTCCTGTGTTACTGTCCTAGGCCGTGTGTAGACAAAATGAGGGGTGTGTGCATGACACTTTAAAGCGGGTTAAATGCTTTTGCACTGCTTTAATGGTGCTGGTGGTTGCATGTGTCGGCAGCATAATGCATTGCAACAACTTAAGGCAAGGGCATACACCAGCCCTTTGCAATCATTAGAGGATAATTCAGGGGCTCTGCAATCTTCAGTCACCTGTGTGTATTTGCATTAAAAATGAAGAACAACAATCTTGCCTTTACCTCGGTCTGCTGCCAGGGTATAAACAGGGGTGTCTCTCGTGGAAAATGGAGCATAAGAAGAAGAATCCACAGCCATCTGCTCAAAGGGGTCCTGGACAGTAGCTGGTGGATCAGTCCCTGAAATTAAAATCAAAAGAAAGACAGAAATATTTAAAAACAGAGGTCCTGGGTGCTGGCATGGATGTGTTGTGTTTGTAAAAGGTGACACCCTTCCATACCTGTAACGAAGAGACTTTTTGTCGGGTGGGTCGGATAACCGTCATAAAACCACGGCTTGAACCCTGGGACAAGAGAGAAAGTCAAGCATTTCCTCTAGCAAACAGGGCTAGGGGATGCAGAAGGAAACAAGACACACGATCTAATTGTGGAGTCAGCGCTACGGTGCTTTCCAGAAGTTTTCTGCTTCACCAGCATGTTTTGCTGAGCATTTCAAATCCAGATGATCCCTTACAGGGGAGATGCTGGCTTGGGTTACTCGTGTTGAATCAAACCATTTTAGGCTGCGCGTGTTCGAAGGTGTTATGGGCTTGTACAGTAACCTCCGTGTGTCGTTCTGAATGGGAATTGTGATTGTTTCTGGCCAGATGAAGCCCAGGGAAGGAAAGAAGACGATATAGCATGTAGTGACCAGAGTCAGGTCCACACTCCAATATTTAATTCTTCAATACAGATCCAGGCTTGGATTTCAGCTTGGATTTAGGACTTAATTCAAACAGGACATTCTTTCCCTTTGCTACCACTGCACCAGGGCATAGCACATCTACGGGGCTTCCTCTAGAGCTAAGATGAATGGGAGGGATATGCTCTGGGCAGGGTAGCTGTCAGCCAGCTTTTCCCATCCCTCTTCTCTCCTGATTTGAAATGCATCCTGCACCCAGCCCTCAGCTGTTCCTGAAGAAGCCCTGACAAGGAGGCCTAATGGCTTACGTGATACCTGATACAAGTGCCCACCAGCTCCTATTCACGTGTCTTATCAGCGATGGAGTGACAGGGGAGGAAGAGGGGTTTCCACTGAGAAGGGAACGACTATTTAAAAAAGGGCAGCATGCACCCATTACCAATGTGAGTTGTCTGCAAACGAAAACAAGAACTGAACGAGCCATGGGAAGCTATTGAATATTTTGGTCCTGCTGCGAGGCGCCGGCTGAAATCACAGCAGTGAGTTTCTGGAGGCTGGAGCCTCACTTGCTGGGGCAATGTCACTCCTGAAGTATGGATTTCCTCTTTTTTTCTGCCCTGGTTTGCTGACCTTTCTGCAAGGGGGCTATTTACTCGTACTTGAAAAGGTGGTTCAGTGCGGAGCAAAACCTACAGCTTTTAATGCACCTTCTTGCACATGGAGCTACTCCAGCCCAGGGAAAGCAGCACTGGGCACAGACAGTCAGAGGGAAAAGAAGATACTGATGCTGATAACATTGGTGATGGAAACCACGGATAGATGAACACAATGCAGAGGGACGTGCATTGCTTTTTGAGTTGGAAGCAATGTGGAGACAGTCGGCCCTGGTTCAGTGTTGAGCAAAACCTACAGCTTTTAATGCACCTGGAGCTAATCCAGCCCAGGGACAGCAAGAGGATGCAGAAATGAACCAAGCTGGCTAAAATCTTTGAAAATCCTGGCTTAGCTCTGAATATTGCCCACTGCCCCGTGCGACACGCACGCCTCTTCCCACCACTCACCCTGCTGTTCCCCACAGCCATCAGGAAGGAGTCTGGAACAGCGTGCCCCCGGCACGCACGGGCATTGCCCAGAGGGACCCCGACAAACCAGCCAGCCTCACACAGACTTCCCTGCTGCCCACACGACACGTCCTGGCACTCCACCCCTTGCATCCCGGGGGGAAGGGGGAATTATTGTCGGTTATTCGACCTACAGCCCAAAGTGCGATCGAGCTCTGTCACGCCGTAGCATCCCGGCCAGGCATCGGTTGTCTCCAAAGCAGTCGTCTGGGGAGGAAGAGTGGTATCCAGGAAAGTCGGGCCCGTTGGGAAGGCCGGAGGCATTGCTGGGTGGGTTGTCACCACTGCGGGAACCGGGGCTGTTGTTGTTGGAGGTCGAGGAGGATCGACCTACAGCCCAAAGTGCGATCGAGCTCTGTCACGCCGTAGCATCCCGGCCAGGCATCGGTTGTCTCCAAAGCAGTCGTCTGGGGAGGAAGAGTGGTATCCAGGAAAGTCGGGCCCGTTGGGAAGGCCGGAGGCATTGCTGGGTGGGTTGTCACCACTGCGGGAACCGGGGCTGTTGTTGTTGGAGGTCGAGGAGGAGGAGGAGTTGTGATCGCTGGAGAAAAAAGCCAAGAAACCAGGTCAGAAACTCCTCAGCTGAGCTTGAGCGCCACACAAAATGGAAACTGCCCATTTCTTTGAGCTGCTGTGAGGAGAGGTGGAGGGAACTGGGCTGATTGAGTCTGGAGAAGAGCAGACCGAGGGGGGTGAATAGCAGCCGTCACCTCCCTGCAGGGGGGCTGCAAAGAGGATTCATAGATGTTAGGGTCGGAAGGGACCTCAATAGATCATCGAGTCCGACCCCCTGCATCAGCCGGCAAGAGTGCTGGGTCTAGATGACCCCAGCTCGATACTCATCTACCCTCCTCTTGAAGACCCCCAGGGTAGGGGAGAGCACCACCTCCCTTGGGAGCCCGTTCCAGACCTTGGCCACTCGAACTGCGAAGTTCTTCCTAATGTCCAGTCTAAATCTGCTCTCTGCTAGCTTGTGGCTATTATTTCTTGTAACCCCCGGGGGCACCTTGGTGAATAAA